GCTGAAGCTCGACGAGAAGCCAAGTTTACGTTCCAAAACAGGGATAACACCTGCAATCATAAGTAATAATTCATTCATTTGCGCACTTATTATGAATACCTTAAACTCAATCTAAAATAAACACTAACCTTATCGACCTCCCACCATGCAGGATAAAGTTTTCCATTGCCCAACGCAAATGATTCATCTCGTTGATTCTTCAAGTGAACGGCGTTAAAAGACGTTGTCATAATTGTATATCGTGTATTTCTTTTATTTTACTTAAGTTTTCTAATTATTAGAAGACGTGACACCCACGCATCGATATGCTGTTTTACAAAAAAAGACATATATTAGTAACTTACATAAATTTAAAAAAAAATCAAATTGAAATATAAGAAAAATATAAGACTTACCCCTCCATCGAAATAGCCATTGTCTTCGACCCCTAATAATACGCCCCACCAAGACCAATCAAGCACAAATAGATATCATCGTTGAGCTTGAATATGTCAGTGAAACACCCCTGGCTCCCCTTATGTAGATAAAAATCAACTGCTGTCTTAGCCCAAAGGGTGTTATCCATAATTGTGTCCGGTAGTTGTCTCCTCTCCACTTCAGATACCGGTATGGTACTAGACGGTAACTCATACGAGAGCCAACTCTCATCCATCATGTCCGACACGTCAGAGGGTTTCTCAAGAATCTTACATATGACGCCATGTGAATCGGGCTCTTGAATGGTGGGAGGGACCTCTTCAACGATGACAGTGGCCTCTTGAACGGTGGGAGGGGACTCTCGAGGAATGATAGGGGCCTCTTCAACGATAGGAGTGGACTCTTGAGGGATGACAGGTGAGTCGGGCTTCTTCTTGCGGTGTCTTCGCACTATTGGGGTATACAGAGACTTAATAGCACGTGCACGCCGTCTGATGCGTGAACTCTGTCGTGCAAGAAAAACCCGACGTAAAGCATCCACCTTATCGGGCCGCTAAATAATTAAATACAAAAATCAGTAAATAAACAGACATGATATTTAAACAGTGAAAACAAAGACAAATATGTTTCAAACTTGCATTGAATTCACCCAAGTTATTATTCTATCATAGTTCATAAAATGCATCAGATAACAAAGGCAAATATGTTTCAAACTTGCAACACTGTCAACTTAGTATTTGTCTTTGTCTATTGGTTGAAGTAATGCAATTCATTCAAGTTTCAATTTGCAGAAGAAGAATAGTTTCTGGAACTTAAAATCGCAACGTGAAAAATGACTATCGCAACGCGAAATGAAAATCGCAACGAGAGAATGAAAATCGCAACGCGAAATAAAAATCGCAACGAGAGAATCGCAATGCGAAATTAAAATCGCATTGCGATTTTTGGTTTCGCGTTGCGATTTTCATTTCGCGTTGCGATTTTCATTTCGCATTGCGATTTTCATTCTCTCGTTGCGATTTTCATTTCAACCAAAAGACAAAACAGTGTTGCTAAAATATAGTTTCAAGAATAAACTATTTCTTCTTCTTCTGCAAATTGAAACTTGAATGGATTGCATTACTTCAACCAAAAGACAAAACAAAGACAAATACTAACTTCAGAGTATTAAAGAATACAAAGTTTAGCAGAATTGGCAGCAAACGAACAAATTTACTTTCAACCAAAAGACAAAACAAAGATAAATACTAACTTCACAGTGTTAAAGAATACACAGTTTAGCAGAATTGGCAGCAACCGAACAAATTTACTTTCAACCAAAAGACAAAACAAAGACAAATACTAACTTCACAGTGTTAAAGAATACACAGTTTAGCAGAATTGGCAGCAACCGAATAAATTTACTTCAACCAAAAGACAAAACAAAAGACAAATACTAACTTCACAGTGTTAATAAACAGTTTAGCAGTATTGGCAGCAACCGAATAAATTTACTAAGCAATCTAAGTGAAATGGTTAATCTAAGTGAAATTACGAGTAAATTTATCATCAAGTTAAATATGGAAAATCTTAAACTTACCTCGTTGCGTAGAGTATGAACCTCATTCTGCAACGATAGTACCATCTCACGTAGAGCGGCAACCTCACCACGTAAAGTAGACACCTCCACACGCCATGCACCATCGTTATCGCGTAGAGTACCGATCTCCTCACGCAAGGCATTGACCTCATCACGTAACTCCCTTGACTCATCCCGTGGAGGTGGAGGTGGAGAACAGGGAGATAGAAGTCATGGCATCTTTGTCGGTCGCCTATCATGAGGTGATGGTGGAGAAGAGGCTCGATGATGTGACGGGATAGGTGATGGCTCTCGTTGTAGAGGTGTATAGTCGGGTCGATCAGGTGATGGCTCTGAGTGAGGTGATGGCTCTCGAAGTGGAGGCTGCTCATCATTCGTGTCATCAAGAAAACGCTGACTAGCTTGCCACCAATCAATTTGAAGTTTTTAATGCATATGTCCGCATGCTGGGGAAGCCTCGAATATCCAAATCTACAAACAATAATAACAAACATTAGTAATTGTTAAATAATTAATTAATTTTGAAAACATTATATAGAAATTCTACCTTAAAGGCCCAAACAAAGCCTGACAAAGTGTATTTCGACCCATCGCCACGCAAACTTTTGCGGTCATCAAAGGCAGACGACAACTTAGTCCAGGTAGCTTTCCATATATACGAACCCCACGGAAACAGATTCCATGCATTTAGGTCCTCTACCAATAATATTAGCTCTGAGGAATAGGTTGTCTGGCCTCTCTGCCTAAAAAGCCGGCATACAAAAGTAGTAGAAGGCATACTCGGACAACATCGACGTCATTCATCCGAGTAAAACCATCTTTCTTATTAAACAATTTCTTCAGGTCATCGACAGTAAGTTCGGCTTCTCTATTGACTCATCAGGAAAAACCCTGGATAACCATGATGGGCGGGTGATATGACGAGTGTACCGGCCTACATCATCGTGTCCGAATCGTAGACCAGTGATTAAGCAGAACTCCTTCCGCCCAAAACAAGTATACGCTGGTGGAAAATGAAACCATATCTCTTCCTCACCACGTTGTATATTGTTGGGTAGATCGCTAGTCATGGTCTGAAGCCACAAATGGGTCAAATTAGCATCTCCACCCGGATGCTGTACTCTCAGCCATGGCCCGAAGCAGGTTTCCTCAAATAATTTTCTTTGTGTAGGTGAAAGCTTCGAAGCAATTATAGTGGCTAGGCTAACTTTATTCCTTAATGTCAATGAAGCCGAAAAAAATTTCTACAAAAACAATAAACATACCAAGTTAGATATACCAAAAACTACACTGTGAAGATATACCAAAAACAATAAACATAAATAGTAGTTTATTCTTGAAACTAAAATTTGCAACACAGTTTTGTCTTTTGGTTGAAATGAAAATCGCAACGAGAGAATGAAAATCGCAACGCGGAAATGACTATCGCAACGAGAGAATCGCAACGTGAAATGAAAATCGCAACGAGATAATCGCAACGCGAAATGCAAATCGCAACGAGAGAATCGCAACGCGAAATGAAAATCGCAATGCGATTTTGGTTTCGCGTTGCGATTATCTTGTTGCGATTTTCATTTCGTGTTGCGATTTTCATTTCTCTCGTTGCGATAGTCATTTCGTGTTGCGATTTCATTTTCATGTTGCGATTTTAAGTTTAGAAACTATTCTTCTTATGCATTACTTCAACCAAAAGACAAAACAAAGACAAATACTAACTTCACAGGGTTAAAGACTAAACAGTTTAGCAGTATTGGCAGCAATCGAATGAATTTAATAAGAAATCTAAGTGAAATGGTTAATCTATTATTGAAATTACCAATAAACTTATCATCAATTTCAATATGAAAAACCTAATAATAATGCAAAAATTTCAAAATAAAAATAATTAAAAAAACTAACCCTCGGTGGTTGATTTGGTTGATTTTCCATTTTTGACCGTGAATGATTTCGCCGGAGATGGAGACTGATATCGTCGGAGATGGGGACTGATTTCGTCGGAGATGAGGACGGATGTCGCCTTAGAGAGTGAGAGATGGAGATGAGGCTGAGTTGTGATTTTAGGTTTTAGGTTATGAGTTGCGATTACGGGATATACTGTGGACGGTTCAGTTTCTGATATATTAAGAAATTCGTGTTTGGAATTTGAAAAAAAAAATACGCGTTAATACGAATGGCACTATGTAAATCACATTGCGATAGTCAGATTCGCATTGCGATTTACGTATTCGCATTGCGATTTTCCTAATTCGCATTGCGATTTACGTAATCGCGTTACGTAAATCGCAATGCGAATTAGGAAAATCGCAACGTGAATTTGGGAAATCGCAATGCGATAGTCAGAATCGCGTTGCGAATCTGGAAACTGATTTGCGATACCGGAGATCGCGTTGCGAATTATCGATCGCATTGCGATTTAGTTGGTCATTTTGGCGAATCCAAAAAAAGTTGGTTAAAATCGTATATTAGAAGGCATTTTTGGTCACTGAGGTTATTTTCTCTAAAAAAATTAATAGTGTTAGTTATCATAATATAACTTTTAAAATAATAATGATCAAAAATAAAAATCAGCTAAAACATTAGGACATCGACTGTAGTTTATCCCGTAATACCGCTAACAAGTAACAATAGCCATATGGCACATGGCCGGTTCTTGGGAAATTCAATCATATACAGTTTTAATATAGTGTTTTGGAAAAATATTATAAAAATATTATTTTTTAATATTTTTGATAAAAAATTATTTAAATTATTATTTTTTACTTAAAACATTAATATTTTTTAACATTTCTGATAAAGTACTTAATATTAATATTTTTGATAAAAAAAATAATATTTTAAGTATTATTTTATCAAATATACTAATAAATTTGATAAAACGTCTAATAATAATATTTTTTATAAAAATAATAATATTTTAAATAATATTTTACTAGAAATATTAAAAAAATAATAACATTTTTAGGCTGCGGCACGAGACTTCCCCGGTTCAGTGGAATAGTCGGTGATAGAAGATTTACCTGAATCGCACAAACCCTCAGTCATTTCATTTCTTAATAAACCCTAATCCCAAAAAATGAGAAAATTTTGGGTGATTTTTGTGGCTTCGATCGTGACCCTTCTTCCATTTCTAAGCAACTCTTTATCTCCTGAGATTCCTACCGATCTCCGTGTTCTGGTCCTCCTCGATGACTTCGCCATCAAGTCTTCCCACTGTTCCTACTTCAACTCCCTCAGATCACGCGGCTTTGACCTTGACTTCAAACTCGCCGACGATCCAAAGATCTCCTTGCAGCGCTACGGCCAGTACCTCTATGATGCATTGATCCTGTTCTGTCCTGCCGCTGAACGTTAGTTGTCTCACATTTGCTTTTTCCTTATTTTAATTATTTCTAAATGAATTGTTTCCTTTTCCTTTCTAATGCGTTTCTGTTTGAAGTGGCGATTAATTTATTTTGTTTTAATTAGGATTTGGGGGATCTATTGATGTTGCTGCCATTGTCAATTTTATTGATTCCGGTCATGATTTAATTATTGCGGCGGATGTTAATACTTCTGATTTGATTCGGGAAGTTGCCACTGAATGTGGAGTTTTCTCTGATTTGATGATTCATGCTTTGTTATTGCATCACTTGATTGTGTATTGAATCTTCCTTGTTGGTAGGATCCTTCGGCCATGGTTATTGATCACACTGGCTATGCAGTTTCAGAAACAGAAGGAGATCATACTTTGATTGCCTCTGATGATTTTATTAAGTCTGATGTGATTTTAGGAAGCAAGAAAATTACAGTAAGTATTAATGCATGCATACTCCACTAGTTTATTTATGGCTAATACTTCGGGTTGTTTTAATCATGATAAAATGTACATTCAAACCCCCTTTTTAGGTTTCTGTTTGCTAATACTTTTACTGCATTGATGTTCTGGAGCTGCTTACCTATGTACGACCTTCAATTATTTGTTTGATGTATATATAGCTAGTCACGCATTTTATGAGTTTATATTTAATTCTGATATACCATTTGAAGTTCATTGTATGTTGTGCATTGGTTGTGATTATGGGGGACAGTAGCTTTAATAATTTTGCCTCAGGCTCCTGTACTTTTCCAGGGCATTGGTCATTCTCTAAATCCTGTCAATAGCTTGGTAAGCTGCTTGCATCTGGTTTCAAAGTTTTTTTTTAAAAAGATAATTTATTATTGAACTCAACCTCCGCTTTTGGTCACCTTAACATTGGCACTATTTTTAGGTGTTAAAAGTTCTCTCAGCTTCTCCATCTGCCTATTCGGCTAATCCCAAGTCCAAGCTGTCAACTCCACCATCATTGATGGGTTCTGCAATCTCCTTAGTTTCAGTTGTCCAGGTATGCTAGTGATGACTGTTCGTATCTTCTAAACATTCCCATTATGAACCTCTATGCATTCCATCTTATTTTAAGATGGTTTTACATGAAATGCAAGAAGCTTATTTTCCAATGACTCCTAGTATAGCAAGTGCTTTGTTCAAATAAGTTATGAATTTATTATTGTTGAAAGACCTGAGAACCGAGAGTTTGCAACATAGCTAGAGACAGATAAATGCTCTTCTTCATTCATTCCTTCAATCTTACACGCCTTATATAGCTAACAAACTACAAGATTCAACAAGAGTGCAAGAGACTAACTGCACTACAACTACTCTAACAAGACTCTAATCGCCTAACTGCAAGAACTGTTGTAACTCCACAAGCAGTGATCTGTTGCACATGAGACTAGAACATTCCACGAACGTTAGCAGTGGCTACCATGCACGAGCAAATCTAGCGTGCCATGCACTAGCATATTAGCGTGCTTGGCACCATACTTCAACATTCCTCCTGCTTTCTCTCCTCTCCTTCTTCTCAGCACAGCTTCACACATAACTTCGCTCGAAATTCTTCAAAGGCATTTCATGCTAGTGGCTTGGTTAATCCATTAGCAATCTGATGAGCAGCTGGTACATAGTTGACCTTCATTAGTTTAGCAGCAACCTTCTCGCGTACGAAATGTATGTCCAAATCAACATGTTTGGTGTGAGCATGATAGATTGGATTGGCGCTAAGAGCTACAGCACTGGTGTTGTCGCACCATATGACAGGCTCCTCTTTCTGACATACCAAGTTCAGTTAGCAAGGCTCCAACCCACACCACATCGACAGCTGTGTCGGCGACGCTCTTGTACTCTGCCTCCATGGTGGATGTCGACACGGACTTTTGTTTCTTTGAGCTCCATGCAACTAATTGTTTCCAACAAACACACTGTGCCCAGAAACGGACCTCCTGTCATCGAGGTTGCCTCCCCAGTCGGCATCAGCAAAGGCAACCACCTTCACACCAGTTCCAACAGCAATGAAAGTTAGGCCAAAATTCAATGTACCAGCCAAGTATCGCAGGATTAGCTTAACTGCAGCCAAGTGGGATTGTCGTGGAGCATGCATGAACTGGGCGACTTTGTTAACACAGAAAGCAATGTCAGGTCTTGTATGGCACATGTACAACAACCCTCCAACAATGCTTCGATAGAAGTGAGCATCAGAAATGAGTTCTCCATCGTCACAACGTAGTTTGGTAGCTGCCACCATTGGAGTTGGTGTTAAAGAGGCTTTCAACATACCAGCTTTCTCAAGGAGTTCCATGATGAACTTTTTCTGTGAGAGTGCAAGGTAGCCATTAGTTCGTTTGACTTTGATTCCCAGAAAGTATGCGAGTTGTCCCAAGTCTTTTAGGGAGAACTTGTCACTCAGTAACCGAACTACTTCATCGATTCGAGCACTCGAGTGGCATGTGATGATGATATCGTCAACATAAACAAGCAAATACACATAGTGCTGACCATCCTTCTTAATAAACAAAGACACATCTGCTCTTGATTCTTTGAACCCAATGCTCAGCAAGCTATCTTGAAGCTTAGTATGCCAGCTCTTTGGTGCTTGCCTCAATCCATACAACGCCTTTTTTAGACAGCACACCAAATTGCTTCCATCGAGGGCATTTTGTTTGAATCCGGGCTGCTGCTGCATGAAGACCACCTCCTGTAGGTCACCGTTCAAAAAGGTGTTGTTCACGTCGACCTGCCTTAGGGTCCAGTTGTTGGTTACAACCAATGAGAGTATGACATTTAGTGTGTTGAACCTGACTACATGACTGAATGTGTCTCGGAAATCATAGCCAGGGATCTGAGAAAAGCCCTTAGCCACTAGTCGTGCTTTGTAGCGATGGATAGTGCCATCAGGATTTTTCTTGACCTTAAAAAGCCACTTACAACATATCACCTTCCTTCCTTCCTTCAGGTAGCTTGGTTAATTCCCAAGTCCCATTGCGTTGTAATGCATTGTACTCTTCAAGAACAGCAGCCTTCCATTCTGGAGACTTAAGTGCTTCATGCACACTGCATGGAACATCATCGACAACAGCTCCTATGTATGTTTTGGGTTTAAACACACCGCATTTACTCCGAGTCATCATTGGGTGATTATTGACTCGAGCAGCCTCACTTTCAGTGCCATCATTTAATACCAGATTTTGTCCTTCATCTTCAGTGCCATCGTACGCGGGTGAATTATGCACATTTTGTTTTGAAAGTAACTCATGTTGATAATCACCGTGAGTATCAACAGCAGGAACCTCAGGGGAAACCACAGCTTCCAACACATCTTGATTGGCAGTTGAACCTTGTGGATTGCTCATTGAGCTGCTTCTGGTAGCACTTAAAGATAGTCTGTTATGACCAAATCGTGAGGGCTCTAACCTGGTAACATCAGTGACCAGTTTGAGTGACTGAGAAGTGTTCCCAATTGGGGCAGCAACTGAAGCTCGGCCAGAGTTTCCTGCAAAAGGAAAGACATTTTCATTAAAGACAACATGCCTGGAAACATAAACTCGCCCATTGCTTGCCATGCACTGAAAACCTTTGTGCTGCGTGCTGTACCCCAAGAATGTACATGGCTGGGATCTAAATTCTAACTTGTGTTGCAGAAATGGTCTTTAAGTGTGGGAAGCACTTGCACCCAAACACCTGCAGGCTACTGTAGTTTGGTGGCTTGCCATATAGCATCTCAAACGGGGACTTTGTCTAGGAGCACCTTTGAAGGAAGCCTGTTAACAAGATGTGCAGTGGTTTGAATGGCATAGGACCAATACTTAATAGGCATGGATGCCTGTGTAAGTAAGACCAAGGCCATCTCGCCGAGGTGTCTATGCTTCTGTTCCACTACTCCGTTATGCTCGGACGTGTGGGGACAGGTGAGGCGATGAATCACACCCGCTTTGCTTAGCTCATTGGTCAAAGGTCGAAATTCTCCTCCCCAGTCAGTTTGGAGGGCTTTGACTGATGCACCAAATTGTGTAGCAATTAGCTTATGAAACAGGTGAAACGTGGTTACGACTTTATCTTTTTTCCTTAGTATATACAACCAACTGAATCGTGTGGCAGCATCAACAAAAGAAATATAGAATCTAAAGCCATTAGATGAAACATGTGGAGGTCCCCACAAATCAGAATACACGAGTTCAAACGGTTTGTTGTATACACTGTCCGAGCAAGGGAATGGCAACTTGTGGCTTTTACCAAGATGACAAGCAATGCAGTTCTTATTAATATCATCTAATGCTTTTACATTGAATTGTTTACAAACTTTAGAAAGTGTGTCATGAGCTGGATGACCCAGTCTTCTGTGCCATATTTCTGAGGCTGTGGAGGAAGCTATAGCAGTTTGTACTTCAACCACACTGTTTTGGCATCGAGCTCTACTTGCTTTGAAAGTATATAACCCATTGCACTCTTCTCCTCGCAGCAAAATTGTCTTGGAGGCCTCATCTCAAACATAACACGTTTTGGCATGAAATTCGAGGAACACACTGTTTTCCTTAGCAAGCTTAGAAACAGAAAGTAAGTTTTTCTTTATTGAGGGAACATGTAGAATGTTGCTTAAGGCCAAGGTTCTAGAAGAAGTATTCAACTCAGCCTTACCAACCAAGTGAACTGGTAGGTAGTCTCCACTTCCTACCATCAACTTACAAGGATTGTTATAGCTCGAGTGAGGTGTGATGGAGGCTTCGTTGGGGGTGACATGGTGTGTTGCACCGGAGTCGATTATCCACTGATCTTGGCCAGCAAATACTGCATGCGCTTGGCTTTTCGTAGTACCCCTGTTGTCACCACGATGTGCGCTGCTGTGATTACAACAAGCACATGGGCTTTCATTGTTACTGGTTGCAGCATAGTATGCTTTAGAGGAGTCAGAGCCAGTCGTGTGATCATCAATCGAAATACCAGAAAAGTCTTCATCGAATCTGTGCCAACATTGGCTGACAAGATGACCAATTTTGCCACATAGTTGGCATTGAACTCTCGGCCGTGTCCTGCCTCTGCCACGAGATCTCCCACTCGAGTAGGACGAGTGGCTTGATCGAGGCTGCTGCTTTTCTTGGTTCTTATAAGATTCAACCTCGCCTTTTCCTTGTGCAAGATTGGCACTGACAGGTAAGGAGTCAGGTTGATAATCAAAGCCTTCAAGCTGAGTTTCAGCATCAATAAGCATCGTGCATATGTTGTCAAGTGACAATGTGTCACGCATGGCAGATATAACTGCGATGAAGGGTTGATACTCCCTTGTGAGGCCCCGAAGAATACTCGCAATGTGCTCAGATGCTGCCACTGGGCTTCCACACGAGTACAAGGCATCAATGACTTCTTTTACTTTTGTGAGATAAGATCTCATGCTATCTCCTCCTTTCTTGAGAGATTGGAGCTTGTAGTGTAAGCTCATTACTGCGGTGGTAGAGCAATTGGCAAAGAACCGTAAAACCTTGTTCCATACCTGGGCAGACGTTTCGGCACCAACGAACTGTGGGAGTAAATGGGGACTAATCGTCGAAAGCAGCCAAGAAGCTAATGCACTGTCTTGAGCCAAGAACTCTTCATGTTCTTCATTGGCGGCTACAACTCCATCTTCACCAACCATTGTTTCTGGAGGTGGGAGCATTGTACCATTAAGCATTCTTTCAAGGCGATGGCTCCTTGCAGTGAGCAGAACCTGTTGTTACCACAACAGAAAATTAGTTTCATCAAGCACTACGTTCACTCTTTTATTGGTGAAGACTTTAGTGTTTCTTGATGAGAACTCCATTGATGTGGCTGTAGACGAGGTACTGTGATCCATAGGAAAACGAACATCGAAAGCACACCCTAGGATGTATCAGCGAATGATATCATGTTGAAAGAGCTGAGAACCGAGAGTTTGCAACATAGCTAGAGTCAGATAAAATGCTCTTCTTCATTCATTCCTTCAATCTTACACGCCTTAAATAGCTAACAAACTACAAGATTCAACAAGAGTGCAAGAGACTAACTGCACTACAACTACTCTAACAAGACTCTAACCGCCTAACTGCAATAACTGCTGTAACTCCACAAGTAGTGATCTGTTGCACATGAGACTAGAACGTTCCACGAACGTTAGCAGTGGCTACCATGCACGAGCAAATCTAGCGTGCCATGCACTAGCATATCAGCGTGCTTGGCACCATACTTCAACAATTATTTCCTTTTGTAGGCAAGGAACAATGCACGAATTTTGATTTCTGGTTCACTGAGTATCTTCAGCAACCGGTATGTGGTATATTAACTTTTTTAACTGAGCTTCCTTGATGAATTTTTGTTTCCTTCCGATTTTGAAATTTATAACATGTCATTTTTCTTAATGAACTCTTAAAATATTTTCAGATTTTTAAGATCTGGTGTGCAGAAGGTTGGGAGCACAACCAAGTGAGTGAATCAGTAACTTTCTAAGCTACCCTTTCAATATAAGATCTGGGAAATGTTAAACAAGTCTGCAGAAATTTATGCTCAATAAATTGAAAGAAACAGCTAACATGATTTTAGGCTCTAAAACCATCATAAGAAAGTCCATGTCAAACATTTTATGTATCTTCTTATTCTTTGAGATTGGAACCAGATGCATTTCCATGTTCATGATCATTTTACGCCTTTGTACTTTTATCTAAGTATTTACTAGTATTTTTATCTGACTTAACAAGAATGTTCTTTCTAATGGCAGAAATAAGAAATCAGGTAATGAGCAATTTTTGACCGAACTTAGCAAATGGGTTTTCCATGAACGTGGTCATCTTAAGGTAGGCATATTGATCAACTTTGTCAGTGTATAAATATGATTCTTATATTACAACTTAATTTTCTGGCATCCTCTTCCTTTTCTCTTTCATGTGCATGTATGGTACTGATTTAAACCATGTTCTGATCTTTAGGCTGTTGATGTAAAACACCACAAAGTTGGAGAAACAGATGAACCTGCTTTGTACAGGATTAATGATGACTTGGTAATTCATGCACCTTGTACGTTTTTTAATGCAAATACCATTTTGCATAAATTTAACTGAAAATAAATGGATGTGTTTCATGAAGATGTTCTCTGTTGAGATCTATGAGTGGTCTGGATCAAGCTGGGAGCCATATGTCTCTGACGATGTCCAAGTCCAGTTTTATATGATGAGCCCCTATATTTTGAAAACTTTATCGAATAACAAAAAGGTTGTTATTTGCTCTTGAGATTATATGGTTTGTGATATAAGTTTTCTTTTAATATGAAGTCATCCATTTAAAAGTATTGGTCCATTCTTGTACTCCAGGGTCTCTATTATACGTCATTTAAGGTTCCAGATGTTTATGGTGTTTTCCAGTTCAAGGTTGAGTACCAAAAGCTTGGGTATACAAGCTTATCCCTTGCAAAGCAGGTATCTTTTGTTTCTCGTGATTCTGAATACAATTTCTCTCTTGAGATCTAATTCTCTTACTAGTTATCTGATTTTTATTTCATCCAACTAATATTGTAATTTTTGTAATTGCTTTCGGAGCTTATTACATCTCATGGAGTTCCTATCTTGCAAATGCGATTTCTGATTTTGTTGTGTAAATTACCAAAACATTGAATTACGTTGCAGATTCCAGTCAGGCCATATAGACACAATGAATATGAAAGATTCATACCAACTGCTTATCCCTACTATGGTGCTGCATTTTCTACGGTATGAATGTCGAGCTCTCCTTCTATATTAGCTGGACTTTTAAAACTGAGTATCAAATATGGATATTTGTCCGGTCGTATATGCTTAAAATATTTTTTTGACTTAAAATATTTGGAGGCCATACTTGCAGACCCATATGTGAATATGTTGGATTTAAGTGTCCAAGATGAGTAATTTAAGAAAATGAAAAGAATTGGCAAATGATTATTTAAGCAAGATAACATCATCATTGGCAGCACCACCATAATCAATGTAAATTCCCAGAGTGGTGTACTAACTTATGGGTTTTTGATGCAGATGGCAGGATTCTTCATCTTTTCTTTTGTCCATCTATACAGCAAGTAGACTTGTAAGCATCCATCCCTACCATGCTTTTGCCTTGGACTCTTGAATTACAAATTTTGTAGCCAACAATGGCTGCCATAGGTGTTTTCGTAGGATGATTTAGGCTTTCAGTTTTAGTTTCAATGATTAAAATTAAATCCTCTAACAATCACAAAAAGAAAATGTATTTGATGCAATGTGTTGAGTGGTTAAATGCCTTCTCAGTTTGGTAGGGTTTCCTCCTTCACTCGGTTATTATCATATACCAAGATTTTAAATATGAAAAATGAACAAGTAACGAAGACTGGAACACAATAGTGTCTACATATTGAGTTGGTTATGAAATGCATTTTGTTCTTATGGTTGGAATACTTAATACATTTAAACACGTCTTTTTATATATTACAGTATTAATTATGCTAATCAAACTAAGATATATCGCCGATAATTAAAGATTTGACATTTCTATTAAGAGAAAATAATTTCAGTGACCGAAAATGCTTTATAATGTATGATTTTACAATTTTTTTTGGATTTGCAAAAATGACCAACAAATTCGCAACGCGAACTCTAATTTTGCAACATAGGTTCTAAAATCGCTACGCGATTTTTCAAATTCGCAACGCGAATAGGTAAATCGAAACGATAATATGTAAATCGCAACGCGAATATGTAAATCGAAACACAGAAGTCAAATTCGCAACGCTAATTATCGATATAGATAAAAAGTATTATCGCAACGCAATTTTTGTTTTCGCAATGCGATTCTCTAAAATCGCAACGCAAATTTCATTTCGGTAATTAGCGTTGCGAAATTCGAGTTGCGAATTTGGAGAATTCGCGTTGCGATTTATATATATTATTGTTGCGATTTATCTATTCACGTTGCGAATTTGGAAAATCGCACTGCGAATTTTGTTTACACAACGCGATTATCCAAAATCGCAACGCGATTCTCCAAAATCGCAACGCGAATTTCATTTTCGCAATGCTAATTACCTATATCGGTAATTGGCGTTGCGAATTTGGAAAATCGCAACGCGAATTTTGTTTTCGCAATGCGATTCTCCAAAATCAAATTGCAACGCGAATTATCATTTTTGCAACTTTAATTACCTATATCGGTAATTAGCGTTGTAAAATTTGAGTTGCGAATTTGGAGAATTCGTGTTGCGATTTACATATTATCGTTGCGATTTACTGTTCGCGTTGCAAATTTGGAAAATCGCAACGGGAATTTCGTTTTCGCAATACTAATTACCTATATTGGTAATTGGTGTTGCGAAATTCGAGTTACGAATTTGGAGAATTCGCGTTGCGATTTACCTATTCGCGTTGCGAATTTGAAAAATCGCAACGCGAATTTTGTTTTCGCAACGCTAATTACCTATATCGGTAATCAGCGTTGCGAAATTCGAGTTGCGAATTTGGAGAATTTGCGTTGCGATTTACATATTATCGTTGCGATTTACCTATTTGCATTGCGAATTTGGAAAATCGCAACGCTAATTACCTATATCGGTAATTAGCGTTGCGAAATTTAAGTTGCGAATTTGCGTTGTGATTTACATTTTATCATTGCGATTTACCTATTCGCGTTGCGAATTTGGAAAATAGCAACGCGATTTTCGTTTTCGCAATACTAATTACCTATATTGGTAATTAGCGTTGCAAAATTTGAGTTGCGAATTTGGAGATTTTGCGTTGTGATTTACATATTATCGTTGTGATTTACCTATTCGCGTTGCGAGTTACATATAATCGTTGCAATTTAACTATTCGTGTTGCGAATTTGACTTTCGCGTTGTAATTTTGACTTTCGCATTTCGATTTTGGAACCTGTGTTGCGAAATTGGAGTTTGCGTTGCGAATTTGTTGGTCATTTTCGCAAATCTAAAAAAAGTTGGTTAAAATCGTATATTATAAGGCATTTTCGATCAGTGAAGTTATTTTCTCTTCTATTAATTAGCAGACTATTTCAAATCTATATTAAGTTCTTTAGAAAAAAAATTAAAATGTATTTATTTATTTTATTTATATGACCTACTAGACTTTCATATGGTGGATTGATTTGGATATTGTATCAAATTAAAATTTTAAAAGTATTGTTTATCAAGTCGTAGACTTTTTTTTTGGGTAAAATAGATCTAATTTATTATTATCAAAATGATTTGGTCTATTATACCTTTTGAAACTGATTATTATCAAATTGGCAATTTTCATTTTGATTTTTGATGCTAATCCTTTGGACAGAAATCCAAGTCGTACGTATTTTCCGAATATACTGTGTAACTAATTGTGTAATATTTTTTTTGTGATCTTATAATAGTATGTATTTTGTTTTTTACATAAATAAAATCTCACGTTATGTAAATAATACTACTTGGAACATTTAGAGGAGCAAGTCCCTTTCCACCACTTGAACAATCCATCAAAATTTATATAAGCGTATTTCTTTTTTGGGGTTACAGAAGGGAAAATAAAAACGGTAAAGCTATAAACTAAGTTACTACAAAGCCTCTAGGGAAGGAAACACCCCTAGAATTAGCGTCTAAAAAATAGATCTCTCTCGGGGGTGAGTCAAAAACCATAAGTTCCTCTTCTATACTGCATCCCATTTTCGAGAGAACATCAGCAAAAAAATTCCCTTCATAGTAGGTATGTTGAAAATTAATTTCCCAATTTCGTGCTTTCAAACTCCGGATATCATTGATAATAGCCCCAGAAGGATGCAATTAAACATCACCAACATCTATCACTTGTAATACCCCACGAGCATCTACCTCACATTCAATCGCTCTATAACCATACTCCCATGAGATCGATAGTCCAATTCTTATAGCATGAAGTTCAGCCGCCACACTCGAATAGATACCCAAATGTGTCGAGAACCCCAAAATCCACTCGCCAAATGTGGTTTTTAGAATACCACCTGCACCTGATATCCGGATTTTCTTGGCTTGCACGATCTGTTTTCAATTTTAGTTTGTCATTCGTAGGAGGTAGCCACGCCACTTGAATGTGAGTATTCGGCTTCGGAGAAGAGATTCCTTATAAGCCAACAAAATGTCCTTCGTTATCGAGATAATATTGCGCCAAAGCCTAATATCATCATAATCGTTATCATCAGGTTCAAAGATCCTTTTGCACCGCACAGTCCATATCCTCCAAATGGTAACAACAAATTGTATATCCGACTCCTTAGAGTGCTTCGCAATATCAAGATTGTCTAGTAGTCAACTTCTAATATCTTGGGAAAAAAATTTTCTCTGCATGGTGTTGGAGATGTAACGACTCCAGATGATACGTGTCATGTTGCAATCCCATAAAACGTGGCTTAAATTCTCCACCGGACAACCACATAGGGTGCAACTAGCCAGTAAGTAGACCCCATGTAGCCCGCCGAGAGTTGGTAATTAATCTGTCACATCAAATTAACCAAAGTTTCTCCATCTAGCTGAGATGAGCAGCTTCCACATCCAAGAGAAGTTCACATTCACCTCTCTATTATTCTCATAAATAAGCGTAATATAAGCTGATCGAGTTGTAAAAATTCTGTTGACAAAATATTTCCAGCAATAAGAATCTTGCATGGAAGATAATTTCCGTATCTGGTATCCCAACAACAAATTTGAATGTAAAGATATTTCTTATTATAACATTTGAATGTAAAGAAAATTTAGAAAAATAAAACACAAGAGAGACAACCCAACAACAAATCACAAACACAAAGGGTAACAAAACAAAAGGAATAACCAAATCATCATTCAATACGAGAGAAATCATATTTCCCTTTCCCCCACACATATCTAGCAAGTGAGATCTTTCCCCAAGTTGCACTTTACGGGAAGTTCCTTAGCTCGATTGAAATCGACTCCATAATCCGTCATCCACTTGGAATTCTTGAAGAAACAAAGGCATGTGAGATCGCCATCGTTCAAAGCCATGCAGCACGGGGCCGAAGGCAGCGGAGGGTTCGGATTCGCCACGCTCAGCTGGAATGCCTGGAAACCCTCTTTGCTCATACCACTAACTTTCTGACCATTTGCCACTATGGGTCCCGACCCAAGGGCTAAACCTATTACCACCATTGTCACAACCATAAGCTTAGCATATCCCTCCATATATTTTGATCCCCACATAAACACACTTGTTTTAATTGGTTGGAAATGGCTTTGAGACAAAGAGGGGGCTGAACATGCCATTATATAGAGTAAGGCTTAAGAGAGTTGGCTTAGGCAAATTAAGCAATAGCACATCGTTTTCTAAAGAGACAGCTTAGTATTTCGTGAAGAATTAAATATGAACATGGTTAGAATTATACATGTTGATATGTGCATGGATGATCAATGCTGTTTTTTAGTGTCAGAATCAAATCATAATAAATATGAAATCAAACCTAAAATTTAATCATTTCAAATCAAGAATACACATATTCACAGAAGTATACATGAATCATTTGTTGGAGATCACATAGAAGGTTGAGATATTCTAAGAATGTAGTTTTTCTTGAGTATAAATTCTATAACGTGATAAGAGAAAATACAAGTTAACATATTTGTTGAGTATATATTGAATATTAGGTCACTCTTTAAAATATTATAATTATATCTCTCGTCAAATTATAAATAGAACTTAATCTATATTTTCTTTCTAGACACATAACATAATTAATCAATCTGATTTTATATCATATTTATAAATAACACCATACATATATGCTTATAATCACATATTTTAATTCAACATTGAGCTATATATTCAACTTTAAAATGTCTAGAAAGTAAGTAAATGAAGTGTATTTGTGGAGTAAAAGATTCAAGTGTGGCATGATAAATGATAATTCATGTGGGATTGATTATTTAGGGGAAGAGGAAGAGCATGGTATAATGCTGTCGTGACATGTTATCACGGGCAAACATTGGAGGAGAAAAGGGTCGGTTTGGATTTTGGCGTCTGAATTTTAGATGAATCAATTTTCATAAGGTAACATTGCATGTTTCCAAATACCAACCCTTTAACAATGGCGAAGTTTAGCATTTTGTCGCGTCTACTAAGCTCCAGTCACGAGACACGATGTTTAAGTCCTATAATTATTTTTAAGAAAAAACTAAGGATGATGATACGTTTTGATATCATGTATCTAAATTGCAACTGCAATCGTGCTTTTTTTGTATTTATCGTGATTAAGAACATAACAAATGTTATTAGCATCATTGCAAGTATTGCGGTCATACAATAATGGTTTCAGATGACATCACTATTGCTATATAATTGTCGTTATTTCAATATTGGACTGTTTCTTAAATCCCTAGTTGCTATCACACCATTGGTTTTCATCTAGAACAGACAAAAAAGTTTTACATTAAAAGGGACAAATTTAATTTTTTTTAGAGAAATTAACTTATAGAATTTAAAGGAAATAGATTATCAATAGAAAATATAAAGAAAATTTCAAAATATATAAAGAAATTTTCAAAATATATAAAAAGTTAAAACTAAAAAAACGATTATCACAACCCGCCCCTTAAGTAAAGATAAATCAAAACCATTTTTTAAGGAGTTGGTGGTGGGAAAAATTGACTCAATACTGTAGGTGGGCTAATTATTCAGCCCAATACGACGCAAAATAATTTATTTAGGGAATTACAATATTTTTTACAGTATTCATGGAACTCGTCATGTCGACATGATGAGTTTCATCGAAAATATATTTTAATGGACCCAGGCGTTGGGTCTAATATTTTATTATATTTCTTGGACCTCGTCACAATAGCATGATGAGTTCCATTAAAAATTATTTTTTTATTTTTTCATGATAATCATTTTTGAAAAAGAAAAACATGAAACTCGTCACGCTGACATGACGAGTTCCAACGATTATATCGATAGTTTTTACTAAATACAAAGTACTAAATTTTACATTCGAAGCATTAACTCTTACATTCCATTACATCAGAAATATTAACTCGTGCATTATATTAGATGCGTTAACTCCTACATTACATTAATATAATAGAAGCATTAAGTGGTAACTGATAACTCTCCAAAAGAGTTGTCTTTAGTAGCATTTTTCACCTAAGTTTAGTTTGAACTTGAGTATTTTTAAGAGCATTTTAGGAACATATTTGTTTAATTTTACATATTTTGCATGTTGAGAATTAAGTGGGTTGTCTAGGCTTGAATTTGAATTTTATTGCTACAAAACTGTTACATTGATGTTGTAGCATTGCAGGAGATGCTGAGTGGATGCTGCAGCAGCCGATGAATCACTAGATGGTTAGGGGAACTTTCTGGAATGGGACAGCTAGCTTGGGCAACTTTCAATGGGTTGAAAACCACCTGAAATATAGAAGTATTCTATTGAAGGATGAAAATTTCCTCAAGACTATTAATGAAAGTACTTTGCAAGTAATTTTTTTTGAAAAATCATTTTAAAAAGTACCTATTTCCACGTTATTCCTCCATATTCCATGGAAGCTTAAGCCCACTTCTAGGGACTACTGCATCATAAGGAGAGCTCACTGAGTAGCATCGGCAGCCAGTAGATCATCATTCGTAGCTTACTGTTTGAGAGAGGGAGTGACTTTGGATGTTTTTAAAACTTTGTGGATGATATTTTGAATTGATTACTTTATGTTTTGTTTTGCTACTACTGTTATATGCTATTTGCTTTATGATTACTATTAGAAAGAGTAGTAATTAAACATTTGGTATTTTGATTAATTTTCTAGAAATAGAGTTGACTGATTTGCTGTGCACTTTTGATAGCATTGGTATTGCTGATCAACAATGTGTATGTTGAAAATCATACAACCAATTGTTTTGCTTTGTTAATACTTTGAACCCTTTAATTAATGAAAGTTGTTAAAGTAGTTCAAAAGTTTTTAATCATTGCTAATTACATAGAAGTAATATGTTTTGTTTACTTAAAGTGTGATTTTCATTATAATGTTCCATATGATTCGACAACTGATTTAACGCTCTCTGTAGTGTTATAGCATGACCTGGTTTCTCATTCTCTGATTTTTATTTCACTTAAATAACATCTTTTACATACCCATAATTTATTTAAAGCTTAGACTCTAATGAAGAACATTTTTCTCCCTGTGGATACTTTACTTGTACTCTTTGAGCTACCACTTATTACTTAGGCATTGATGTATACTTGCACTTAAGCTATAGCATTTACACAACATTAAGTTTTTGGTGTCATTTCTAGGGATCATTTGTATAATTTAGAGTTTTCTTTAATTTAATCATTTTGTAGGTACTTTTTAGTTTTCATTTCTACTAGTTTATGCCTCGTAACAACGATGAATTAAAGTTGTTTGATCTAGAGATTGAAAGGACTTTTAGGATATGTCACCCACAAGGAACCAAATAACTATGGTTGGATGAGGGAATGTTGTTTTACCCTCATTGTAGAATGGAGGGGATGGTGAGTTGCCCGTTGACAATAGAGCGGGATAACCATTTTATAATATGGACGATTGTGACCGACCTATCTGAGAACATGTAGTGCCAACGCTAAATGATCTGCATCTGAGCATAATAAGGCTAGTGATTAATGTTGCAAACTTCGAGTTGAAACCGATCATGTTCTAAATGCTACAGTCCATGGGCCAATATGGAGGGTCTGTTGTTGAAGATCCTCGAGCTCATTTGAGAGCGTTCATGGTGGCATGTGATTCGTTTATTCAGTAGGGTGTTCCTGAGGAAGCATTGAAGTTGATGCTCATCGTTATTCGCTGCGCGATAAAGCAAGAGCATGGTTGAGTTCATTATCACCAGGTGTTATAGCATCCTGCAATGAACTAGCATAAAAAATTTTGCTACGATTTAACCCACAAAATATGAATGCTAAACTTCGAAATGATCTAACTTCATTTAAGAAAATGGAGGATAAAAGCTTGTATGAAGCACGAGAAAGATTCAAGGAATTACTGTGGAAGTGTCCTATGCATGGGTTTCCACATTGGACTCAAATGAAGATGTTTTACAATGGGTCAAATATACACACTCGTATGGTGGTTGATGCTTTAGCAAATAGAGCTTTATTAGATAAAACGTACAATAAAGCTTATGATATTCTGGAGAGGATCTCAACTAATGATTTCTAATATCCTAATACAAGGAATATGTTTGGCTGACGCAAAGCTGTAGCGATAGATTCTGAAGCTTTCAAAATCTTTGACATCTCAGATTCAGTATTGACGGATATGGTTAAGAAATTTCAAAAATTAGGGGAAATTTATGAGGTCAAGGCTGCATCTATCATCACTTGTGTTGATTGTGGAGATAATCACAACTTTGATGAATGCCCCCAAAATCCAAAGTCTATCTACTACGTGTAGAATTATCAACGGAATGATAATGCTTTCGGCAACACTTATAATGCAAATTTAGAAAATCATCCAAATCTTTCTTGGAGAACCAAAACATTTACAATCCATAACAACATCATTATCAGTCACAACATTATAATCAACATCAACCAATGCCACAACCATAAGCACAACATCCAGTTGCTCAGCTGTAACAAATTCAACTTATCAAGGATAATCTTCAACCCAAACTTCCACTTTATCATCTCTTGAAGCTTTGATGAAAGAATATATGGCGAGTTAATCAACATTGTTAAGGGCACTAGAAAATAAAATGGTCCAAATGGAAAATGTTCTCAATAATCAATTGCAAGGAACGTTGCATAGCGATATTAAAATTCCAAAGCAACAAGGAAAAGAGCATTGCAAGGATATTACATTAAGGAGTGGAATTCATATTGGGGATCTAATTAAAGAACCTAGCAAATGATGTAGATGCTACTAAGCATGGTAAGAAAACGAGAAAAGAAGTTGAGCTAGAGCCATCTGTGAGTCATGCCACAACATCAAACGTAGGACATTGTAGTAGTAAATCAAACTCATTGTCGACAACAATACCTGCACCATCTGATGCTCCACCAACTTCAATACTTCAGCAACAGCCAAAGATGCCTCCATCATTTCCATAGTGCTTCAAAAAGATAAAGAAAGATCAATAATCTAGAGTTTTCGTTGATGTCCTTCGCCAACTTACAATCAATTTCCCGTTAATTGAGGCTTTAAAGTGAAACCCAAGCTATATCAAATTCATGAGGATAACCCTTTCGAAGAAAAGGAGAATTAGTGAATTTGAGACTATCGCTCTTACCGAAAGCTGTAGTACTATAGCCACAAGTCGATTGCCACAAAACTTTAAAATCCAAGGAGTTTTATTATTTCTTGAAATATTGGTGATAAATTTATTGGTAAAGCTTTATGTGACTAGGGTGATAGCATAAATCTAATGCCATTGTCATTTTTTAGGAAATTTGGAAGCGGCGAAGCAAGACTAACTACAATTACATTGCAACTCGCTGACCGTTCCACAGTGCATCAAAAAAAACATGCTTGTGAGAGTAGATAAGTTCATTTTTCCTAAGGACTTCATCATTTTGGACTTTAATGTGGATAAAGATGTTCCAATTATTCTTGGTCTCTCATTCCTTACTAATGGTTGAGCCTTAATTGATATAAAAAAAGGAGAATTGATCATGCGTTTATACGATGATCATATCACTTTTAATATTTTAAATGATGTTTCTTATATACATGATAGTGTTTAATGTTTCTCACTTGATGTGATTGTTATCTTTGTGCAGGAGCATTGGGAAGAATGTGGCATCACATATATTGTCACCAGCGATTTGGTAGCAATTGAAGAATTATCTAACGATACCAAGGGTGGATGTTATAGCAATTATATGCAACAAAAATGTATGATCATATTATTCGAGCCTCGACACCAACTATTGAGGAACCACTTGTGCTTGACTTGAAACCCCTTCCTGAACATCTGAAGTATGTTTATCTTGGAGAGAATGAAACATTGACAGTCATTACGAAGGCACAACTTACAACAACATAGGAGGCTCTATTGATTGATGTGCTGAAGAGCTATAGCCTGGAACATCGTTGATATAAAGGGCATTAGTCCAACATTTTGCATGCACAAGATTCTTTTGGAAGACCCTAACAGTAGTTCAATTAAACACCAAAGAAGGGTAAATCCAATCATGAAGGAAGTGGCTCAGAAAGTGATTATAAAATGGTTGGATGCTGAAATAATATATCCAATTTTGAACATCAAATTGGTCCAACCCTTTGCAATATGTTCCAAAGAAATGAAACATTATTGTGGTGACAAATGATAAAAATAAATTAGTGTGGACAAGGGCCACTATTGGTTAGAGGATATGCATGGACTATAGGAAACTCAATAAAGAACTGGAAAATACCAGTTTCCATTACTATTAATAGATCAAATGCTAGATCGTCTTGTCGGTAACGCCTTTTATTGCTTTTTGGATGGAAATAGTGGTTATAATCAAATTGCTATAACATTGGAGGACCAGGAGAAAATAACTTTCACATGTCCGTATGGTACCTTTTGCTTTTCGAAGAATGTCATTTGGATTATAAAATGTTCTAGCGATATTTCAGTATTGCATGATGGTCATATTCTTTGATATGATTAAAGATTATCTTGAGGTATTCATGGATTACTTTTCGATGTTTGGACAAGATTTTAAGCATTGTTTGAATAATTTGGATGCAATATTGAGAAGATATGAGGAAACCAAATTAGTTTTGAATTGGGAGAAATATCATTTCATGGTGAAGGAAGGTATAGTGCTCAAGCACCATATTTCCTATTGTGGCATTGAGGTGGATAAGGAAAAAGTAGAAGTTATTGAGAAACTACCACCCCCAACTAATGTGAAGGCAGTTTGAAGTTTCCTTGGACATGTTGGTTTTTATAGAATATTTATCAAAGATTTTTGTCAAATTGTGAAACCATTATGTTCTTTGCTGGAGCAAAATAGAAAGTTCATTGTTGATGAGAAAGTGCTCATGTCCTTTGAAACGATTAAAATGAAGTTATTAAATGCTCCGGTCATTATAAACCAGATTATAGTCTACCTTTTGAGTTAATGTGTAATGCTAGTGATTTCACAGTTGGTGTAGTGTTAGAGCAATGAAAGGAAAGACTGTTTCATGCTATTCATTATGCAAGAAAAACATTAAATGATGCCCAAATTAACTACACCACAATTGAAAATGAGCTACTTCTAGTGGTATTTGCCTTTGACAAGTTTTGTTCTTACTTGGTAGGTACCAAAGTAATTATTTATATCGATCATTCAACGCTGAAACATTTATTTGCCAATAAGGATACAAAGCCTAGATTGATTCGATGAGTGCTTTTACTTCAAGAATTTAACATTAAGATTTTGGATAAAAAGGTATTTGAGAATTAAATGGCTAATAATATATATAGATTAGAAATATGGTAGCGAGGATGACAACATTCTAGTAATTCCAGATGATTTTCCTGATGAGCGACTACTTACTGCTACAACATTATCGTTGTATGTTGACTTTGCCAACTATCTAGTTAGTGGAATGATGCCACCCGATGATAACTATTAAGGTAGAAAAAAATTCATGAGGGATGTAAGGCAATACCATTGGGAGGAGTCGTATCGGTTCAAACAATGCAATGATCAAATTCTACGATGATGTATTCTTGAGTGTGAACAACAAAACATTCTACAACATTGCCATAGTGCCCATTATGAAGGTCATTTTGGTGGTATGCATACAGCAGGGCAGGTGCTTTACTGTAGGTATTACTGGCCATTGCTATTTAAAGATGCTAATGAATATGTGAAGCATTGTGATCACTGCCAGCGAACGGGTAATATTTCTCAACGAAATAAAATGTCAATGTAACCTATCTTAGACATTGAACTTTCCAATATTTGGGGACTAAATTTTATGGGCCCTTACCCATATTTTTTTGGTAACTTCTTTATTTTAGTTTCTATTGACTATATTTCCAAATGGGTGGAAGTTGTAGCCTTTCCAACCAGCAATGCTAAAGCTGTATTGCAATTCCTGCACAAAAATATCTTCACTCACTTTACAACACTGATAACTCCGTAAAAGACTATGTTTTAAGGTCTTTTTACTTAAGTTATTGAGTTTCCAATAGCCATTTTTATAGAATTTAGTTGTATTTAGATCATGTAGTGCATGCGGTGGAAAAGTATTATTGCAGCATAAATTTATTGATCAAACTGATGTTGCTGAGGAGAATGGTCTTCTTGAGGTGTTGTGTAGGAAAAGAGAATAGTTGAGGAGAAAACTTTTGTTGTAGTATTCTATAGAAAAGGATAAAATGTTTTGATGTGGCAAAACTTTACAGTAATTTAAAGAAGTTGATGTCATGCTGCCAGTTGTTTAAGGCTCATGTGAATGCTCTGCCTTGCTGATAATTATGGGACCATATGTCAATGGCCTCATATTCACGTGTAGGGCATGAAACCAAGGGCACAAAGGGAATTTTAAGAGCACAAAACCCTATAAATTCCATATATTAATAATTAAGGGTACCCTACAATTAAAAAGACTTTTGGAGGATTCATTTTGAGCTTTTGGGAGAGTGGTGGATACACGATTTCCATTTTCTTCTTCCTTTCTCCATTTCCTTTTCGTGGTGTCCTCCATAGACGAGCTTCAAGAGGGTAGCGGCTAGGCCTTTGAGAGAGGCTAATTTACTGGAGTGGTTCAGAGCGGTGGTTCCAGGCTTCACGGCAGTAGCCCTTTGGGAGTTTTTCTTATCCTTGTGCTTTTATCGCTTTATTTTCTCTATGGGTTTGTACTTAAAGATGATTATGGATGAACTTATCCCCACAATGAATTAATTTATTTGACATTGGGTTTGTTATGGATGATATTTATTTTATGTTAAAGGATGATTAAATATTTCATGTTTATATGTTGTTTTGCTCATTGTTCATAGTTTAAATGATTAGTCTTCTAAGAACTTACGAGCGATAGCTATTTTCTAAGTACAAATACCTAATATCAAGAGAGTTAGGTT